AAACTCCGTCTAAAAAAAAAAAAAAAAAAAAAGAAACAAAATATTAATTTAAAAAAATAGGAGAATATGGGAAAAGGTTTATACTTTGCCTACCCCTCCAATGTCATCCCTTCCTGCCCCATCCTGCCAGCCTCATCATGCCACACTGAATTTTTTCTTCTGGAACAGAGTCTTATTCTGTCACCCAGGCTGGAGGGCAGTGGCACAATCTTGGCTCACTGCAACCTCCGCCTCCTGGGTTCAAGCAATTCTCTTGCCACAGCCTTCCAAGTAGCTGAAACTACAGACATGCACCATCATGCCTGGCTAATTTTTTTGTTTTAGGAGAGATGGGGTTTCACCATATTGGCCGTGCTGGTCTCAAACTCCTGACCTCATGATCCACCCACCTCGGCCTCCCAAAGTGCTGAGATTTGGAGGTGTGAGCCACTACTCCTGGCCAGTTCTGAATTTTTTTTTTTTTTTTTTTTTTTTTTGAGACAGCATCTCAACTCTGTCACCCAGGCTAGAGTGCAGTGGCATAATCATAGCTAACTGAAGCGTTGAACTCCTGAGCTCAAGTGATCTTCCCACCTCAACCTCCCAAGTAGCTGGGACCACAGGCACATGCAACTCCACCCCGCTAGTTTTTTTTTTTTTTCTTTTTTGGTAGAGGCCGGACCTCCCTATGTTCCCTATGCTTGACTCAAACTACTGGGCTCAAGGAATCTTCCCACCTCAGTCTCCTAAAATGCTGAAATTACAGGCATCAGCCACCATTTCTGGCCCATACTCAACTTTCTATTCTCCCAAAACAGCAGCTATTTCAGTCTTTACAATCTTGCATCATGCTCCTCTCAACCAAGCATATATTGCCCTGCCTCAGGTACAATGATATTCCTATCTTACCAGTGCCTGGGACATAGCGGGTAACTCAAAAAAACAACTGAATGACAGATAAATGAATGGACTGTCCCAGTTAACGGTAGCAATTTTCAAAATGCTAAATTACAAAAAAAGTCCCTGATAAAATCTCTTTTAATTAAGAACTAAAGAAGTAACTGCGGGCCAGGCATGGTGGCTCATCCCTGTAATCGCAGCATTTTGGGAGGCTGAGGAAGGCAGGTCACCTGAGATCAGGAGTTCAAGACCAGCCTGGCCAACACGGTGAAATCCCATCTCTGCTAAAAATACAAAAAATCAGCTAGGAGTGGTTGCACGTGCCTGTAATCCCAGCTATTCAGGAGGCTGAGGCAGGAGAATCACTTGAATTGAGAAGTAGAGGTTTCAGTGAGCCTAAAGCGTGGATTCCAGCTTAAGCAACAAAGTGTGACTCTGTCTCAAAAACAAAAATAAAAAGAAAAAGAAAAAAAATTTTTTAAATCACATAAAAAATGAAATAAAGCTCATTCAAGGGTAATCTTGAAGATAGTATTACCCTGATATCAATAACAGACAAAGGCATCACAAAAAAACTGTAGACTTACCCGGGCACGGTGGCTCACGCCTGTAATCCCAGCACTTGGGAAGATGGAGGCGGGCACATCACCTGAGGTCAGGAGTTCAAAATAAGCCTGGCCAACATGGTGAAACTCCGTCTCTACAACTCTACAAAAATACAAAAAAAAATTCAGGCATGGTGGTAGACGCCTATGCTCCCAGGTACTCAGGAGGCTGAGGCAGGAGAATCATGTGAGCCAGGGCGGCAGAGGTTGCAATAAGCTAAGATTACACCACTGCATTCCAGCCTGGGCCATAGAGCAAGACTCTATCTCAAAAAAAAAAAAAAAAAAAAAAAAAAAAAAATTCAGACTTAGGCCAAACAGTAGCTCACACATGTAATCTCAGCACTTTGGAAGGCTGAGGTGGACAGACACCTGAGATCAGGAGTTTGAGACCAGCCTGGTCAACACGGCAAAATTCCGTCACTACTAAAAATACAAAAATTAGCCAGGTGTGGTGGCACACACCTGTAATCCTAGCTACCTGAGAGGCTGAGGCACCAGAATCACTTGAACTGAGGAGACAGAGGTTGCAGTGAGCCGAGATCCTGCCACCACACTCTCCATCCTAGGTAATAGAGGGAGACTCTGTCTCAAAAAAACAAAACAAGACAAAAAACAAAAACAAACAGTAAAGAAAAAGGGAAAAAAGAAAACTGTAGACTTAATTAATCCTTCATGAATTAAGGCAAAAAATCCTCAAGAAAATACTGGCAAGCCAAAGCTAAGCGAGGTGGCTCATATCTGTAATCCCAGCACTTTGGGAGGCCGAGGCAAATGGATCACCAGAGATCAGGAGTTCGAGACCAGCCTGACTAACATGGCGAAACCTTGCCTCTACAAAAAAATTTAAAAATTAGCCAGGCATGGTGGTGAGCACCCGTAATCCCAGCTACTTGGGAGGCTGAGGCAGGAGAATTGCTTGAACCCGGGAGGCAAAGTTTGCAGTAAGCCAAGAGAGCACCCCTGCACTCCTGCTTGTGTGACAGGGTGAGACTCCATCTCAAAAAATATATGAACATTATGCACTAAAAGCTATAAAAAACTTTACAAAGATATTAAAGACCTAAAGATTGGTGTACAAATAATTCTGGTTTTTGCCATTACTTTCTTATTTATTTATTTATTTAGATTAAACCTCACTCCATCATCTAGCCTGGAGTATAGTGGTGTAATCTTGACTCACTGTAGCCCTGGCTTCCTGGGCTCAATGATCCTATAATCTTAGTCTCCCTAGTAGCTAGGATTACAGGCTAAAATTAAAATGACATTAACAAATGTTGATGAGAATATTAAGAAATTAGAACCCACAGCTGGGTGTAGTGGCTTATGCCTGTAATTCCAGCACTTTGGGAGGCTGAGGCGGGTGGATCACTTGAGGTTAGGAGTTCAAGACCAGCCTGGCTAACACGGTGAAACTCCGCCACTACTAAAAATACAAAAATTAGCTGAGCGTGGTGGCGGGCATCTGTAGTCCAGGCTGCTCGAGAGGCTAAGGCAGGAGAATTGCTTGAACCTGAGAGGCAGAGGTCAGAGTAAGCCAAGATCGTGCCACTGCACTCCAGCCTGGGCTACAGAGAGACACTCTCCGTTCTCAAAAAAAAAAAGAAAGAAAGAAAGAAATTAGAACCCACATAGGCTGCAGTAGGACTGTAAAATGGTACAGCCACTATGTAAAACAGTCTAGCAGTTCCTCAAAATGCTAAACATAGAATGACCATGTGACCCAACAATACCACTTCTAAGTATTTTCCCAAGAGAACTGAAAACATATATTTACACTAAAACTTTAATACAAATGTTCACAATAGCATTGCCCCTAACAGCCACAAAGTGGAACAAACAAAATGTCCGTCAACTGGAAGAGATAAACAGAAAATAATTATCAATATAATGCAACATTCAGCAGTACAATGGAATGAAGTATGCATACATACTACAACATGAATGATCCTGAAAACATTACGCTAAGTTAAAGAAGTCAGACACGAAAGGCCACAAATTACACAACTGTATTTATATGAAATGCCTAGAATAGGGAAATCCATAGAGACATAAACTAGATTAGTGATTGTGACGGGCTAGAGAAGACTGAATGGGAAATGACTGCTGGAAATGGGTTTACTTCTGGGGTGACAAAATGCTATGGAATTAGACAGTGTTAACAGTTGTTCAAATCTGTACCCTTTAAGAGGATGAATTTTATTTTACTTTTTCTTTTTGAGATGCAGTTTCACCCTATAGCCCATGACTGGAGTCCAGACTCAGCATCCCGAGTAGGTGGGATTAAAGGTGTGTGCCACCACGCCCAGCTAATTTTTTTTGTTTTTTTAGATGAAGTCTCACTCTGTTCAAGCAATTCTCCTGCCTCAAGTAGCTAGAATTACAGGCGTGCACCACCACACCCAGCTAATTTTGGTATTTTTAGTAGAGATGAGGTTTCACCATGTTGGCCAGGCTGGTCTCGAATTCCTGACCTCATGATCCACCCTCCACGGCTTCCCAAAATGCTGGAATTACAGGCGTGAACCACCCAACACCGACTAATTTTTCTATTTTTAGTTGAGATGGGTTTTTGCCATGTTGGCCAGGCTGGTCTCAAACTCCTGACCTCAAATGATCCGCCTGCTTCTACCTCCTAAAGTGCTGCAATTACAGGTGTGAGCCACGGTGCACGGCCTGCATGGGGATTCTTAATGAAGATAATTATTGCATTTGAGGGAGAAAAGGAATAATATTTATTAATTTCTAAATATCTTAGAATATACAATACCCTGGGTAATCTAGGGCATTTAGGGACCAGTATTTATTCCTCTGTGCTCCTCCCCCCTATTTTTTAGATTTTTTTTTTTGAGACAGAGTCTTGCTCTGTCGCCCATGCTGGAGTGCAGTGGCACGATCTCAGCTCACTGCACTGTCCACCTCCCAAGTTCAAGCGATTCTCCTGCCTCAGCAGAGGCCCCCAGGACTTTGGGTGGCCGAGGCAAATGGATTGCCTAAGCCCAGGAGTTTGAGACCTGCCTGGGCAATAATAACAAGACTGCCTCTTTATTTAAAAACAATCAAGCTGGCCGGGCGCGGTGGCTCAAGCCTGTAATCCCAGCACTTTGGGAGGCCGAGGCGGGTGGATCACAAGGTCAAGAGATCGAGACCATCCTGGTCAACACGGTGAAACCCCGTCTCTACTAAAACTACAAAAAATTAGCTGGGCATAGTGGTGCGTGCCTGTAATCCCAGCTACTCAGGAGGCTGAGGCAGGAGAATTGCCTGAACCCGGGAGGCGGAGGTTGCGGTGAGCTGAGATCGCGCCATTGCACTCCAGCCTGGGTAACAAGAGTGAAACTCCGTCTCAAAAAAAAAAAACAATCAAGCTAATATCTTACTTAGTATTATTTTACATAAGAATTTTTATAGTATGCCAAGTTTGAATGTATATTTGTTATACAGTTACCAATTTAAAAGCGGCCAGGCCCAGTGGCTCATGCCTGTAATCCCAGGGTGAGTAGGGCAGATCACAAGGTCGGGAGATCTAAACCATCCTGGCCAACATGGTGAAACCCCATCTCTACCAAAATACAAAAAACTAGCCGAGTGTGGTGGCGCATTCCTGTAGTTCCAGCTACTTGGGAGGCTGAGGCAGGGGAATCACTTGAACCCAGGAGGCAGAGGTTGCAGTGGGCTGAGATCGCGCCATGGTACGCCAGCCTGGCAACAGAGCAAGACTCCATCACCAAAAAAAGAAAAAAAGTTAAAAGCATACTGGCTGGGCACAGTGGCTCACCACTGTAATTCTAGAACTTTGGGAGTCTGAGGTGGGCAGATCACCTGAGGTCAGGAGTTCGAGACCAGCCTGGCCAACATGATGAAACCCCATCTCTACTAAAAACAAATTTAGCTTGCACATGCCTGTAGTCCCAACTACTAGAGAGGGTAAGACAGGAGAATCACTTGAACCGGGGGCAGAGGTTGCGGTGAGCCGAGATTGTACCAATGCACTCCACTTTGGACGACAGTGCAAGACTCTGACTCAAAAGAAAAATAAAAAATTGCCGAGCTGTAATCCCAGTACTTTGGGAGGCTTAGGCAAGTGGATCACCTGAGGTCAGGAGTTCAAGACCAGCCTGGCCAACATGGTAAAACCCTGTCTCTACCAAAAATACAAAAATTAGCTGGGCATGGTAGCAGGCACCTATATTCCCAGCTACTCAGGAGGCTGAGGCAGGAGAATCGCTAGAACCCGGGACGCAGAAGTTGCAGTGAGATCATGCCACTGAACTCCAGCCTGGGCGACAGGTCTGTCTCAAAAAAAAGGAAAGCTATGCTCTAAAATGGAAAGATTTCAAGACACACTATTATGTGAAAAAGGAAGACCAAGTGTGCATAATTTACTACCTTTCCCTTAAAAAAGGTAGTCTGTAGGGGAGCACAAGAATTAGAGGTGTTACCTGAGCAAACATGGCACACAGGTCACTGGACTGGTTAACTTTTCATGTATTTTTAAATCACATATCTATTCAAAAATTCAATTTGAAAAACTATAGCCTAAAAGCAAAAATTGATTAATGAATGCCTATTTCAGAGAATCCTTTTCCTTTAATTAAAACTATTAATTTCTTATTTGGTTGGATGTGGTAACCAGATTCCTATATGGCCCCCAATTATCCCAGCCTCATGGTATTCATGCCCTTGAGTATTTATTCCCTTCCGCATCTGCTTGGTCTGTGTGGGCAATACTTCATAAAAAGTTACTCTATCTTCTTGCTTGGTCTGTCCCTCTCTCTAGGATCACTCACTCTGGGAGAAGCCAGCTACCATACTATGAGCAGGCCTATGGAGAAGTCTAAGTGGGAAAGAACATGCCTAATACAAAGAGCTAGCAGCCATAGGAGTGAGCCATCTTGGACAGCGATCCTATAGCCTTCAGAGATTGCAGCCCTGGCAGACATCTTGACTATAATTTCATTAGAGAGACTGAGCTAGCACCATCCAGCTAAGCCATTCCATGGTTCCTTAGAAAATGTGAGATAACAGGCCAGGCATGGTGGCTCACGCCTGTAATCCAAGCACTTTGGAGGCCAAGGCACGCAGATCACCTGAGGTCGGGAGTTCAAGACCAGCCTGACCAACATGATGAAACCCTGTCTTTAAAAAGGAAAAAAAAAAAAAAAATGTGAGATAAGGCCGGGCGCGGTGGCTCAAGCCTGTAATCCCAGCACTTTGGGAGGCCGAGGCGGGCGGATCACGAGGTCAAGAGATCGAGACCATCCTGGTCAACATGGTGAAACCCCGTCTCTACTAAAAATACAAAAAAAAATTAGCTGGGCATGGTGGCGCCTGCCTGTAATCCCAGCTACTCAGGAGGCTGAGGCAGGAGAATTGCCTGAACCCGGGAGGCGGAGGTTGCGGTGAGCCGAGATCGCCCCCTTGCACCCCAGCCTGGGTAAAAAAGCGAAAACCCCCTTCTCAAAAAAAAAAAAAAAAAAAAAAAATGTGAGATAATGTTTATTCCTTTAAGCTGTTACACTTAGGGGTCTGTTAGACAGAAGATATAACCAATATAGCAAAAACATTCCATCCACAGCTCTAAGAACTTATGTTCTCAAAAAAACTGTATTAGAAACACTATACAAATTATTAGCATAGTGCTGGATATGAAAATCCCTAGTAAATCAATAAGACTGTAGTAGTTACAAGTTCTTTATCAAATATCTAGAAGCACAATAAGCTCTGATCAATAAATCACTTGAAAACACACATCTAGCTATATAATAATGAAACTTTGACTATATAACTACAGAAAATCATTAACTAAAATGAAAACCAGATTAGGAAAATATTTATGTCCAATAACATAAAAGTTTAATATATATAAAACATTAAATCCGAAAAGATACATCAGCAAAGAATATTGACACAAAACTCCTAGGAGAAAATAAAGACAGTAAATAAGTAGAAATTATTTTCTACAATAAAACTATACTAATTAAAGCAATCATGTAGTAGAATTTTTCACTCATTTAATAAAAAAAAACAGGCCAGGCGCGGTGGCTCAAGCCTGTAATCCCAGCACTTTGGGAGGCCAAGGCGGGTGGATCACGAGGTCAAGAGATCGAGACCATCCTGGTCAACATGGTGAAACCCCGTCTCTACTAAAAGTACAAAAAATTAGCTGGGCATGGTGGCGCGTGCCTGTAATCCCAGCTACTCAGGAGGCTGAGGCAGGAGAATTGCCTGAACCCGGGAGGCGGAGGTTGCGGTGAGCCAAGATCGCACCATTGCACTCCAGCCTGGGTAACAAGAGCGAAACTCCGTCTCAAAAATAAATAAATAAATAAATAAAAATTAAAAAATAAAAAAAAACAATAAGTGCTATCAAAGTGTGGGGCAATTGCTAAATTCATACACTATTTATAACTATGGGTAAAATCCTTTTAAAAAGCCATCCAGAAATAAGTACATCAAGACCCACCAATATATAATGATATTCCATTATCAGCAGTTTATCTTTCAGAAATAATATAAAAAGCCCGGGCATGGTGACTCACGCCTATAATCCCAGCACTTTGGGAGGCCAAGGCAAGCAGATCCCCTGAGGTCAGGAGTTCAAGACCAACCTCACCAACATGGTAAAACTCTTGTCTCTACTAAAAATACAAAAATTAATCGGGCATGGTGGTAGGCGACTGTAATCCCAACTACTCAAAAGGCTGAAGCAGGAGAATGACATGAACCCAGGAGGTGGAGGTTGCAGTGAGCCAAGATCTCGCCACTGCACTCCAGCCTGGGCAACACAGCAAGACTCCATCTCAAAAAAAAAAAAAAAAGAAAAAAAGAATAAATATAAAACCTGGGCCAGGCATGGTGGCTCACTCCTGTTATCCCAGCACTTTGGGAGGCCAAGGAGGGCAGATCACTTGAGGCCTGGAGTTCAAGACCAGCTTGGCCAACATGGTGAAACCCCATCTCTACTAAAAATACAAAAATTTGGCATGAGGGCACATGGCTATAATCCCAGCTACTTCGGAGGCTGAGGCACAAGAATCACTTGAACCCAGGAGGTAGAAGATGCAGTGTGCTGACATCATGCCACTGCATTGCAGCCTGGAATAAGTAAGGCTTGGAACTGAGTAAGGCTCTGTTCCAAAAACATAAATACATACATACATACATAATAGTACCTAGCGGGGCACAGTGGCTCACGCCTGTAATCCCAACACTTTCAGAGGTCAAGGCAGGAGGATACCACTTGAGCCCAAGAGTTAAAGACTACCCTAGACAACATAGTGCAATCCCATCCCTACAAAAACTATAACAATTAGCTGGGCATGGTGGCACACACCTGTAAACCCAGCTACACTTTGGGAGGTAGAAGCAGGCAGATCACTTGAGGTCAGGAGTTTGAGAACAGCCTGGTCAACATGGCAAAAATCCGTCTCTACTAAAAATACAAAATTTAGTCCGTGCAAAGTGGCTCACGCCTATAATCCCAGCACTTTGGGAGGTTGAGGCAAGTGGATCACAAGGTCAAGAGACCACAACCATTCTGGCCAACATGGTGAAACCCCATCTCTACTAAAAATACAAGAATTAGCTGGGCCTGGTGGCATATGCCTGTAGTCCCAGCTACTCAGGAGACTGAGGCAGGAGAATCACTTGAACCTGAGAGGCAGAGGCTGCAAGAGCTGCAACCATGTCACTGCACTCCATTATGGAGACACAGCAAGACTCCATCTGGAAAAAATAAATAAACAAAAGAACTTGGCCGGGCGCAGTGGCTCAAGCCTATAATCCCAGCACTTTGGGGGGCCAAAGCAGGCAGATCACGAGGTCAGGAGTTTGAGACCAGCCTGACCAATATGGTAAAACCCCATCTCTACTAAAAATACAACAAAACCAGCCGGGTGTCATGGCGTGTGCCTGTAGTCACAGCTACTCGGGAGGATGAGGCAGGAGAAATGCTTGAACCCAGGAGGAGGAGGTTGCAGTGAGCCAAGACTGTGCCACTATACTCCAGCCTGGGCAATAGAGGGAGACTCTGTCTCAAAAGAAATAAAAATTTTTTAAAAATAATAAAAGAACTTAACTACCACTTAACAAACGTACTACAACTGCATTTTTAGAGGGAGACACCGTCTCAAAGAAAATAAAAATAAAAGAACTTAACTACCACTCAACAAATGTACGGCAACCACATTTCCTTTTTTTTTTTTTTTTTTTTTTTTTAAGACGGATTCTCACTCTGTTGTCCAGGCTGGAGTGCAATGGCACGATCTCGGCTCACTGCAACCTCTGCCTCCCAGGTTCAAGCAATTGTCCTGCTTCAGCCTCCCATGAAGCTGGGACTATAGGCGCACACCACTACGTCCGCCTAACTTTTGTATTTTTAGTAGAGACAGAGTTTCACCATGTTGCACAGGCTGGTCTCGAGCTCCTGACCTCAGGTAATCCACCTGCCTAGGCCTCCCAAAGTGCTGGGATTATAGGC